TTTTTTTTAATAATTTGTGTGTCATTTTCTAGCCATTAGGACTTCTGCTAATCTTAATATATGTTTAAAACAACAACAATAACAACAAAGCTTTATTTCCGTACTGCAAATAAATGAAAGCTAATTTTATTGGATTGCATGTAACTGTAAGTAATTGGAGGGCGCATGGAGGGCTTTTTTTATTATTTACAGATTTTTACAAGGATTGTCTTCTGTGTCAAGTTCCCCATCTTTTGCTTTTTAAATTCTTATTTTCATTGTATCAAGTGAATTAAATTTATGAATTTATCCTTATAATGCTCCTGCAGAATGCCATGTGTTGCAGTATTTGGATTTACTATTTTGAATGTACTATGCGTCAATGTAGTATCCTGTTTTCTTCTCCCTAGCTCCACAGTCTCACCAGTGGTATTCTTGGGGCCCCCCTAATATGCAGTGTAGATTGTGTGCATCTTGCTGGATTTATTGGAAGAAATACGGTGGCCTAAAAATGCCCACACAGACAGATGAAGATAAACTGTCCACCCAACCTACAGAGGTAGGATCGTGGAGATGAACTTTTCCTAAAGCAAACTTTGGCACTTTCTCAAGAGTGCTGTGTTTTCAGCATTTAGTGGGATGCTTTTTGTTGGTGTGTTACAACTGGTGAATATTTCTCTCTTTAAGTAGAACTGAGCAGTATAGAGCTCCTGCCATGTCTTTATTTGGCCAGGTCTTCATTAGGCAAATGTCCTTTTCCTGCATTTTCAGTGAGAGATGTCATCTTATTTGTCAAATGTCCTGTTAACTGTAAAGTGCTAACAGGACTATACTATATGCAATCTAGAATGGCATTGAATTTCCACTCACAATAGAGCTCATTTTTTTGTTACGGAACTTCTTATATAAACCCTAGTTTTCGCATGGTATTGATGTATATCGTTTTATTAACCTTGTGAATTTACCCCAATATGGGTATTTTTTTTAAATGCTGAAATAGGGAAATAGCGCTCTCATGTTTATTCTCTTGATTTGCAGAGAAAGAATACCCTGTGTTTAATAATAATAATAATAAGCGTTTAATAATGTTTTGTATATATATATCTCAGCTGATGTGTTACGATTTTCGTTTGCCTTGTTTTTGCAGGAGTCCCACGTTAGAACTCACATGTCGCGCCAGGCCACGCAGGGAACCCCAGTTCGTAACACTGGCAGCCCCAAGTCGGCCGTGAAGACCCGCCAGGCCTTCTTTCTGCACACAACGTGTTGGACAAAACTTGCTCGCCAGGTCTGCAAAAACACCCTCCGGCTGCGGCAGGCAGCACGACGTCCTTTTGTCCCTATTAACTGTGCTGCCATTAAGGCAGAATGTAAGATGTTTTTTTAATTCTTAGTTCTGTGTGCTGTGCTTCCCACCCATTTTTGTCTTTTTAATTTTATTTTCTTTTACAATAAACATTTCTTGTCTATACCCTTTTGCTTTTCATTTTTTCATTTGTCTAGCATATCACCAACACATTCAGATAAAGTGTTGCCCTGAGCAGGTTTGAGGCTATTTTCAGAAGAGAAGATATTTGAAAAGAGGTGAAAGGTGAAATATTTAAAATGAATTTAAAAGGGCTATCCATTACCTTATGGATATCAACAAATTGTTATCAAAAAATAAATGCGGGGGTAAATCAATGTTATGACATATATGCTTCCTGCTATTTAGTGTGAAAGAGGTTTGCCTTTATGTTGTTAGTTCTTTTGCTTAGTAGAAATGTGTAGTCTGTATCATCTTACTTCTTCTCAGTGGTTGTGTTCAAAGAATAAGATGCAGTACTGCAGGTGCAGGAGGATGTCAGTCTGTCATGCAACACAGTCGCTTACTATTGTTCAGTTCAGGTGCTGGTGATGGCATGTTTATTATTTCATCATGATTGCATTTTTTGTCCATTTCAGTTGAAAATTTGGCTTTAAATATAATTCTGTAGTAAGATTTAAAAAAAAAAACTATAAAGAACTGAAGAATTCACTATTAGTATTATAGATGGTTATGGGATTTTCCCTCATGTTCTTTAGTACTAGCCCTTCTGTAAGGCAAGCTCTTCAACTTCTACAGACATCCAGAATTGGTAAATAGTTCTGGTCATTGTCCTTCTCTTATTTTTTCCGTTGTCCCTTTGGGTGTTTTCTTTCCTCTTTGGAAGCTGTTTAAGTCAGGAGCACTTTTCAGTAGATCAGTGGATTGAAACCAGTCTGAAAGGAAACAAACAATTTGTCCACTATGTGAGTAAAATAGATCTTTTCATGTGCTTTGATGGAAAAAAAGTGTGTGAAGCCTGGACTAGATTTACATTTATCCTTAATACACTACAGCATTTGAAATATTCATGAACTAGTAGAATAGCAATTATTTTCTAAGAGGAAAAGAGTGTTCCTTTTAATTTATGTAGTTGGCACTGATTTCTACTACACCATGGAGGAAAATTAATTCTGGAATTAGGCTCACTGTAACCTTGAATCTTTTTATCCCCATCCCTATTTGTTCTTACTGGGTCTGGTTATTCAATTTGAAAAAAGATGAAGCTTTTGTTTAAGGGAAAAACAAAACGCAACTATTAATCATCATTATAGGACAAATGTTACACACAGTTCAACTTTGAATACCAGAAAATGAAAGCTAAGCTTTTCAATAGGGAGTAGTCATTCTTGTGTCACACTGATAGTGTCATAAATGCTTCATTTCTGTTCCTTTGACTGCAAAGATGTCACAACAGGTAAATATCAAGACGAGAAAGGTGTTATGTTGTGGTTTTGTTTTGTTTTGTTTTCTGTAGCCTCTGTCTTCTGTTACTGTTTTTACTTCCAGGAAAATTTGGACCTCTCAGTTTTGTCTGCTTGAATGCTGTTGTTTCCTGGAGTATTAAGCATTCATGCTGCAGATCTAAACTAGATTTAAAAAAAAAATGTTTGTTTCTTTTTAAACACATCTTTCAAACTATTTTATAATAGTGACAAATAGATGATACATAATTTTGTTCATGTTTCTCAGTGTGTGCACACACATGCAAACATACACACTCATATATATATGTGTATATATATATTCCATTTCTGACTGTGTCTCCATATGTTCTCCACATTGTTCTTAACCTGAGTGCAATTTTTCATTTTTACATTTGTGCTTTAGTAAATCCTGTTAGGTAAGTTTATAAAATATAATTTTCTGGTTTGCTTATCTTAATTCTGGTGACATGGGCCTTAAGATTGCTCTGCAGATTTTAATTTTATGATAAAATAGACTCTCTTCTCTTGAGTCTTTGAATCATTTCTTAAAGATAATTTGATTACCGTTATTTTTACAGGAGATATTTTATTAATAGTAATTAATAGTAATGATTTTACATGCTGAAGAGTATAGAGATAAGCAGTTACAATACTGAATCAGTGTTTACGGTGATGTTTGAGCAGTTAGAATCACACTGTGATGGCAGCCTGGCCAAAGTGGCAAGGTGACTCATCTGGTGTGACATAAGATGGACAGGGCATTTTGTTTATGTAGTTGTTTTTCTACACTGATATGCTAGA